TAATTATTATTAATTATAAAAAAAAGGAAGGTAAAAGGCTTAATTATGCTAGCTATTTTATATACAGCATTAAAATTGCTACTTGCTAAGCATCTTAACGGGCTAAAGCTGCTTAGTTTTAAATAATTCTTTATATAAATAACATTCATTATTCCTATATTAAATAATTTAATAAATTAATAAATTAAAATTAAATAATAATATTTATAAATAATTATTTTTATAAATAATATAATATTTAATATTTAAAAATATTTAAATTTAATAATATATATAATTAAAAATAAAAATATATTATATTTATAATATATTTTTTTTTAAAAAAAATATTAATATTAATAATAATAAATATAAATAATAAATATTTTTTAATTTTATAATTAATTTTAATATAAAGTTTATAAATTATATTTTTATTTTATTTTAAAATATTATATATATATTATTATTTTAATTATATTAATTTTTAAAATAATTTTATTTTTCATTATTATAAAAATAAAATATAAAATAATTAATATTAAGTTAATTAAAATAAAATAATAAATTATTATCTTAAAAATATAAAATTATATTTTTAAAATAATAATTTATTATTTTATTTTAATACTTTTTTAAAGCCATTTCTTTTTATAAATATTTAAAATTTAATATTAAATAAAAATAATTCTTTAAAAGCCTTTTTATATTTTATTATATATAAATTAAGTTTATATTATTTTTATTTTAATAAACATTTATAATTAATTTATAAATAATATTAAATTATTTAATACTTTTTTATTATTTTTATTTAATAAAATTTATAATTAATTTATAAATAATACTAAATTATTTAATACTTTTTTATTATTTTTATTTTTTATAAAATCTTTAAAAATATTATTTTTTTAAAATCTTAATTAAAAAAGTTTAATTTTTAATTTAAATTATAATTAAATATTTAATTATTTATTATATTTTATTTATTATTAAATAATAATTAAAATTTTAAAAAAATTAAATAAAAAAATTATTAAATAATTAAATTAATTAAAAAATAATTTTTAATACTTTATTTTATTAAAGTTATTATTTTAATATAAGATATTATAATTTTAAATATTTTAATTAATTTATTTTATATTATTTTTCATTAATTCCTTATTATTAAATAGCTTATTATTTAAGTTTATTATAATTATTTTATTTAATAATTTTTTTATAAATATAAAAATCTTTTTTAATATAAAAAGTTTATAAGAATTATATTTTATATTTATATTTTTTTTATATTTAATATTAATTATATATATTTAATATTTTTAATTTATAAATAATAATTTTAAAAATTACTTTTTATAATAATAATATTAAAATAAAAACTTATAAAATTAAAATAATTAATATTAAATAATTTTAATAAAAATTAAAGTTAAGTTATTTAAAAAATATTTAATTAATAATAACTTTATAAAATACTTATATTTTTATTAAAATATTACTTTTTTTAATTTTTATAAGTAATTAATTATTATTTAAATATGTTTTTTAATATTAAGTTTATAATAATTTTTAAATTAATAAATTTATTAATAACCTTTTTAAAAGTTTATTTATTTTAAATTAATTAATAATTAAATAATTTATTTATTTAAGATATTTTTTAATTATTTATATAAAAATATATATAATAAGTTTTATTTTATTAATTTTAAATAACTTAATTAATTTAATTTTTAAAAATACTTTTTTAAATTAAACTTTTATATAAATAGCTTTAATTTATAATTTATTTATAAGCTTATATATATATATTATTATTTTTTATATATATATTTTAATTAATAATAATATATAAATTATTTATAAAAATAATTAAGTTAATTATATTAATAAAGCTTATTTATTTAAAATTACTTTTATATATTTTAAATATAATATAAAGTAATTTTAATTTCTTATTTTTATTTATTAATAATTATAAAAGCTTATCTTTATTTTTATTATTATTATATTTAATATTTTAATATATTTAATTATTAATAAAAAATATAATTTAATAAGAAGTATATTTAATATTAATTTATAAAATTTATTTAAGTTATTTTTAATTATATTATATAATATATTTAAGGAATTTTTTAAACCTTTTATTATTAATTTTAAGTATATAATTTAAATTAACTTATATAAATTATATAAATATATTACTTTAGTTCTTAATAATAATATTTTATAATAAAGTTTTTTCTTTATTAATTATTATAAAGCTTAAATAACTTAAATTTATTTTTTTAATAATACTTTTTTTAAATTAATATAAATATATTAAAATTAAATAATAATTAATTATATATTATAATTAAATAAGTTTAATTATTAAAATAAAAATTTAATAATTATTTAAAAAAAACTTACTTTAAAAAAGCTTTTTTAATTTCTTTATAAGATTTAAAAAATATTAATTACCTTTATTAACTTTATAATTTCTTTAAAATAATTACTTATAATTATTTATAAAGCTTAATATAAGTTAAAATAATAATTCTTATTTATTAAGTTTTATAAAAATAAGTAAATAATATTATAATAAAGTTTTATATAAGCTTAAAATCTTAATATTTTATTTTTAATATAATATTATAAGTTTAAATACTTTTTTATACTTTTAAAAAAACTATAATTAAGTTTTTATTAATTAAATTTTTTATAAATAATTTTTAAATTACTTTAAATATTAATTATATTTAAATTATATTTTAAATATATTTATAATAGAAACTTATTAATTTAAAAGTATATATTTTAAAAAACTTTTATAAATATTTAATTATAATTATTAAATATTATATTTTTATATATATTAAAATAAAAAAGGTAAGTTATAAACTTATTAATAAAGTAATTTAAATAATTTTATAAATTAAAAGAATAAATAACTTATCTTTTTACTTTTCTTATAAAAAAACATTAAAAAACTTATAAATTATATATAAGATAGCTATTTAAGGCTTATTAACAAGCCCTTATCTTGCTAAGTAAGCCTTAATAAATATATATATAATAATAATTTAAGCTTTGCTTATTATAATTAATTAACAAGCTTTAACTTTATAAAAATAAGCTTTAACGTAAATATAAATAAAGAGCGAATTTCTTTCTTTATACTTTAAATATAAACCTTATTTAAATACTTTTAACTTTAAAAATATAAAGTAAGCTTATAATAAAAATTAATATAAATTAATATTAAATTTAATTAATTTCTTTATATTAAATAAATATTAAGGTTAGCTAAAGTTAATAAATATTATAAAAGTATGTTATTTATTAATATATATTATTTATTAATAAATTACGTTATTATATTTATAAAATATTAATTAAATAATTTATATAAATAAAAATATTTTTATTAAATATTATATCTTTTTTTATTAAAATTTATAATTTTTATTTATAAATAAGTATATTTTGCTGCGTTTGCACCAAAAAAGGGCTGGGCCGAATCAGGGGGTGGGCCGAATCTGGGCCGGGGACGTTACGGGCTGAATGGCCCTGTGATAATTTAGTCATCCGCATAGCTCCGTGTCAGATCGGTCTCCGAAACCCTGGAGGTCTGGTGCATATATTCAATTGGCCGCTTTGTGATGTTAATGTCAGTATTTAGTAATGATGGGATTCCTCCCGAAAGGCCCAGGCAGCCCACCTTGAGTCTCCTCTGTAGTATCTTATAACCACGCAGCGCCTGTCGTCTTTTGTTTTACAGCCAGTAAACAACCGTCTTCCCACCTCACGTTCACCTTTAACACTGACTTTCTAGACGCGCACTCGGTCAAGCCAACAATGAAAGCAGCAGAACAAGTATCCAGAGATAGCTGAGAGGGTAAATAGAATTACTGCTAGCAAATTCCACCTCCCGGCCAAAAGACCATAATAACCAATCTGCCCATTGGTTATTTCTAGCAGTATATAAAGCCGTACCGTCACAATAGCAAGCAGGCACTCGGTCTGACCCGAGATGAAGCCAAGCAAAAGAGTCGCATTGACCGGGGTGGAATGAATGGGCTAACCATTCCAGACCTCGGATCCGGTCAGGGCAGCCAGTTGAGCGTTTGGGGGGGGGGGGACTTGGTGATTGCCCTCACCGTCCCCATGCCAGCCCATTGGTACAGACCACGCGCCTCACCTCAGAGGTCGTGGTAAATATGGGGTGAGACCAGTGACAATTCACCTGATACTTCCGAGTTCGAGGTAAGCGGCGAGCGAATAAGGAAGGTCCTGTGAGACCTGCAGCCGCCCGTGCAGCAATGCAAAGGGATAAGACACAAGGCTTGGGCTGGACTAGTTTGATTATTAGTCCAAGAAGTCACCTCGCCTGACCGACATGTTCGCCGTCTGGCGCACCCACCAACGAAACTGTTGGTTTGAAGGATCCTTCCCCGCCTGCCCAGATCCTCCTCCTTCGGTTCAAAGATGCCCGCATTTCGGTTGAAAGGCGCCCGTTTCCTCGGTGCAAAGGTTCCCTAGTTGGGTGTTCAGCTCCGTGGCGTCTTGGAGGTCTATCAGACATATCTCCGGTTGGGAGACTTGTGACCATGGGATGAGGCTAGCTGGGCTAGCTGAGAGTTCTTGTCAGGGGTCCAGAACGTCGAGGTGGGCCCATGGGATTGTTCCCCATGGGGATATTGCGGGGACCTTGGGGGAGTGCGGCTAATAGGAACTCGGGTTTGAATTGTGCGAGTTTATCTTGGTATAGTTGCTCAAGTGACGGATGGTTGGTGGACGCCTCCTTGGCGCAAGGTTTGGCAACTTGGCATGGAACAATGGGACCAGACCACCGGGACGAACACGAGCCATAATGCAACATTTGAACGTGCTCATCTCCTGCTCTGTTTCTCCTCTCCTGCTCCGTGTAACTTCTAGGTGAGCTCTCATCCTGTCCTTTACCGGAGTTGTTTATCTTTCACCTCCCGTGGCCGTCGCTGTGAAGGCTGTGAGGATCCGGCACTTACACCATGGCCGATTATGAGAAGGGGCAGGCCGAGCCCGTGGCCAAAGCTGGGCCCGGTTCCGTGAACCAGGCGGAGTATGCCGAGTACAACCCCGACATAGCCCTCGTGGAGGCAGCAGCAGCATCCAGCGAGGCGGAAACAAAGCTCCCTCGCAAGGAGCTCTTCAGCCGGTACTGGCCAGCAGCCGTCTACAGTATGCTCCTCAGCATGGCTTTGGTCATGGAGGGCATGGACGTTGGCCTGATCAACAACTTCTTCGGCCAAAAAGCATACAAGGACAGGTTCGGATGGCCCGATGCGAATGGCAAGCAACACATCCCCAGTTCATGGCAGGCGGCCATTGGCAACGGAAACAACCTGGGCAGTATCATCGGTCTTTTGTTGAACGGCTACTTGCAGTCCCGCTTCGGGAGTCGCAAGGTCTATATGGGATCCATGGCTCTGATGGGTGCCACGATCTTCACCCTGTTCTTCGCCGTCAACGTCCAGATGCTCTTCGCAGCCAACATCCTATGCGGCATCCCCTGGGGAATATTCCAGACTCTGACAACCGCATATGCGGCCGAGATCTGCCCCACGGCCATGCGAGGTTACCTGACATCCTGGGTGTCCATGTGCTGGGGCTGTGGCTCGTTCCTGGCCGCCGGGGTATTGCGTGGATCACTGGGTCTCCCGGGCGACCTGGCATGGCGTGTTCCTTATGCCCTTCAGTGGGTCTGGGTCGTCCCTCTGTTCATCGTCGGCTTTGTGGCCCCCGAGAGCCCCTGGTACCTCGTTCGTCGTGGACGCCTCGAAGATGCCGAGAAGGCTCTGCGCCGCCTCGCGCGCAAGGGCCACTACACGGAGCAGAGCATGGCCGAGACGCTCGCCCTGATGAGGCATACCAACGAGATGGAGAAGATCGAGGCGGCGGGTGCAACCTACCGCGACTGTTTCCGCGGCACCAACCTGCGCCGAACCGGCATCGTCTGCATGGCCTGGATCATCCAGATCCTCAACGGCCAGGCCATCTGCGCCTACGCCGCCATCTTCCTGCAATCGGCCGGCATGCCCCAGGTGCAGGCCTTCAACTTCAACATGGGTATCCAGTCGGTAAACATCGTGGGCACGGCGATTGCCATCTCGCTGATGGGCAGGATTGGGCGTCGCATTTTCTTTTTCTACGGATCATCGAGCATTGGTCTCCTCATGCTGGTCATCGGCATCTTGGGCTTTGTCCCGGGCGCAGACCACGTCGCCATAACCGTGGCTGTCGTCTTGATTCTTGTCAACCTGATCTTCAAGCTGTCTCTCGGCCCCACGACCTACACGATCGTGGGGGAGACGCCCTCGAGCCGTGTCAGGGCGCAGACCATCGTGCTCGGCCGCGCCATGTATGTTGTTGGCCAGATCATCCTGCAGCAGCTCAACCCGCGCATGCTCAACGCGAGCAGCGACGCGTGGAACTGGGGCGCCAAGGCTGGCATGCTGTATTTTGGACTGTGCTGCATCTGGGCCGTCTGGATCTTCTTCTTCCTGCCCGAGACGAAAAACCGCACATTTGCAGAGCTGGACTACCTGTTCCAGAAGAGGGTTCCGGCGCGCCAGTTTTCTTCGCACCCTGTTCACTGTGAGTTGTCCCATCGTTGTGTCTTCGATTGCTTCATCGACCATTAGCGAACGGGCTTTGCTGACCATTGACAAATTACAGTGTTCGAGCTTACCGTGCCTGGCGAGAAGTAGTCGTCATCTCTGCGGGTGGAGTAGAGGGTGGATTATTGTTCTCAGTATTGTCGGGCTCCTATATAACTGTGCAAGCCATTGCAGAGCGATGTAGGCTATCACATAGTCACACTAAGCGGTTGATAGCGAGCCAAAATACCATGTTTTCTTGAAAGAGATTTCTGTTCCTCGAAGAACCCTTCAGAGGCTCGGTCCAAAGACATCGCTCCCAGTGTTCGATGTGGAAGTATGCGTAGGCCGAAATGTGGAGTAAATTCACTGCAGCTATCCATCTCCCTGCCGTCATTTTCATCGTCCAAGGCCTGCATGTGCTCGCCGTTCTGAAGCTCGAACAGGACAAGCAGCCAATCTGGCAACAGGAGTGGCTGTTGGTTTCGTGAGAGAAGCCAATCCAATTGTCAGGGATCGCGCAGAAGTGTTATCCAGAGACCGCAACTGTTGCACCATGAAAAAAGCAGTTTGAAAAAGGGGTTGAGCGTGTGTTGTCTTTGTCCACGATTCTTGGAGTGAGTGATGCAAGGCAGTCAGCAGACCCCTGCCACGCGGGAACCCTCGTGTCACTGGCTGGTGGGGCCTTTGATCCAGACACCCTGCGGTAGAAGCACTAATCCCTGCACGAGCTCAGGTCAGACAGGGCCAAGAAGGCTGGCCCACGGGGTGGAGCGGGCCCACTACGTCGACTGTCAGACACGCTTCCGGCGCGCCCAAAATTTAGGGAGTGGTACACTGGTACACACCCATCATCAGCTTTCAACCTCACCGGCCGTTCTCTTGTCTGCGCATGCCCAACAGGCCCGTCAAAGGCTCACACAGCCACAACCCCCTCGACCATCCGTTTTCCAGCTCTTCGCACCTTCGTAACCCCGTCACCCTCGCGCCGCCCTCCTGGATTTTCATTCTCTCTGCCTTCTGGTCGGCAACGAACCAAACGATAAGACCGTCGAAAGCCACCCCAGCCTCCGACGTGCGGCTGCATCTGGTGACTCTGTCGCGCTTCCGCTTCCCCTGAGCTGCTCTTTTCATGCGATGGACTAGCCGTGCTCTTCATACAAGAGTCTCGCATCAGTGTGGGCGGACCCAGGCAGCACCTCACCGGCCTCAACTGCCAGAGGGACCAGAACGGTAATGGCCACTCTGCACTCAAACGGCGGCTTTGGCTCTGCCGGTGCAAACGGAGCACCACATGGCAATGACAACTCCAGCTTCAACCCCAGTGCCAACGGCGACATCGTCCCAAGAATCCTCGCTGCCCTCGAGGTAGTCTACAACCCACGATCCGCAAACCAGTCCCGCATCGAAGCACAATCTTTCCTCGAGCAGGTCAAGTCCCTTAAGGAGGGCCCCTCGCACGGCTTTACCCTCGCCTCCGACAAGGCGCAGTCGCCCATCGTCCGATACTACGGCCTGTCACTTCTCGAACACTCCATCATTCACAAGTGGGCCGAGTATGACGACCAGGAGGCTGCGTTCCTGAGAGGCTGGGTGCTGGAGCTTGCCCAGCAGGCGACGAGGGAAGACCCCCAGTATATCAGGAACAAGATCGCGCAGCTCTGGGTCGAGGTCGCCAAGCGCTGCTGGGGGGCTGAGTGGATGGATATGGACCAGATGCTCGTGCAGCTCTGGCAGTTGCCTGGCTTTGGCGTGCACAAGGAGTTTGTCCTGTCCGTGCTTGGCTCGCTGTCCGAGGAGATCATCGGCGGAGATGACCCCATTGTCGCAATGCGCGAGAATGTCCTGGACAAGGCCGTCGTTGATATATTCATGCCTGTGTCTGTCTTGGCCGAGGACTTCCCCAACCGCGAGGCCGGCGCGCCTGTTCGCTTCGGCTCCGAAGGCTGGCTTCAGCGCGCGGTGAGTCTGCTTGGCGAGGCTCTGGCATCTGACATCCAGGGCAACGACGAGGCGCGATCAAGCGCCGTCAAGGCGCTCGTGTTGCTTACCATCATTCTCCCGTGGGCCTTCCCCAAATCCGTAATCGTTGCAAGAACCGTCCACTATCTCTATGAAGGCCTTGTCGCGCCTCACGTGGCTGTCCAAAAGGTATGCCGTCCTGCCTGCTGCCTCAACGTACCAGGCTAACTTGCGCAGGCATCCCTCGAAGCCCTGCATGCACTTTACTCCCGGAGCAACTTTGGCGACGAGCAGTTCTCGGCCCTAGTCTTGCCCATGTATGACAAGCCGTGTGTCGAGCGCTTCTCCCAGCTGTTTGCATGGTCCACAGTAGATGCCGATGACATTGACGACGACAAATATTTGTTCGCCAAGAAGTTTTCAGAAGTAAGCGGCGCCTTCACTTGCGATTCGTATTGCCTGTGCTAACGTGTGCAGACAATATCACATCTAGGCAACTACCTCGATCGGAAGTTCAACTTGATTCCTCCAAGTGCCGACATCCAACCCTTCCTTGAATTTCTCCTTCAAGTCGTTCAGAGCCAAAGTCTCGTTGTTTCGATCCCAGTACTCGTCACCTGGACGAGGCTGCTCAGTCACAGGGCACTGGGTCCGTCTATAGTGAAGACACACCTTGTCGGACCCCTGCTAGAGCTGTGCAGCTCCAGGCTGGTCCGATATGAGAGCTTGCCAGAGGAGACCCCAGACCCTACGCTGATCCTCCTGATGGAAGACACGGACACGATCCCGGAGCGCCATGCCTTCCTGGGCAACTACAGACGTTATAGCTCCCAGGTCATCGAGAGCATTGTGGAGCTGACACTCTCAGATGCTATCAACTACATTCTCGGGCAGACTGACACCGTGTTGCAGCACCTATACGACGGACAGCCGCCAATAAATCCGGCCAACTACGTCAAGAGCTCGATGGCCTATCTCCGCGTTGATGCGCAATTCACCGTGATAGAGTCTGCCCTGAAAGGTTACGTGAGATCAAGACCACCGAAGGGTGCCGACCCAGAGCAAATTGAAGCTCAGAAGGCGCAGCTGGATGAGCACCTTGAGGCGTGGTGTAATCGATTGATTGAGATGAAGTTCCAAGACCCGCTGATCCAAAAGCGGCTCCTGCAGCTTCTGGTTGCCTTTTCTACCACTGCTTTGAGGAAGAACAACGGCTTCATGCTCAAGGTGCTCGAACACATCTTGATGACCTGGCCCGCGACGCATCCTGAGCACAGGGCGTTCAATGAGGCAATCAAGGATCTTCAGGCCGAGAGTTTGAATGAGCTTCAACGGCTGGCCTTCAAGATGCCGGACAACCTACTCGGCGTCTACGACCAGTTAGAGGCCAAGATCAACGAGATGAGCGCCTCGGGAACCTTGGACGAGCGGAGACTCGTTAATTACAAGACTTTCCTCTTCATCATCATCCACCGTGCCACCAACATTGACCAGTCAACCCGTATTCAGCGGCTGCAGGCCTTTGTCGAGCCGGTCAAGGCTCAATGGAGAGACGAGAATCTGAAGCGCGCTCTTGCAACATACGAAGGCTTTTGCGAAATGACCGGGCTCGACAAAGCGCAGAGGTATCTGGCGAACCACCGGGTCGATCAGATCTCTGACTGGGGCTCTGTTGAGCTTGATGCCGAAGGTGCTGCTCTGCAGGCCGAGCTGGAGGAGCGCCAGCAGGTAAGCACTGAGAAATTATCACCTTCGTGGTCTAATCTAATCTTGTCACAGTTCTTGCCTCTGCGTGCTACGAAATCCTTCCTGAACTACTCCGTAGACAAGCTCGAGAAGTCCTCGCCATCATATCAAGCATCGTGTGCCCTGTGGCAAGACAGCTTCCCCATCATACTTCCGGAGCTCCTCCAGTTTTTAAGGTCAGCTGTTACTCTGAACTTAGGCATTGTTTACTTGCTGACTCTGGTCCAGCCATGCACACGCATCTGCCAATCCCAGCAACTGGACGCTTCTTCCCAGTGAAATGCAATCTATCGTCGGCCGAGTGCTCACGGATAGGTTTTGGCAAGCCGGCATTTCTGAGGGCAGCAAAGATGATTTCTACGCCAGGGTGATCAATAAGAAGAACACCCTGGAAGGCCTAGCATCATCGATTCGTGGTCAGATCCGCTACATCCGCGAGTTCTGCTACTCGGTTATTTTCTGCATGAGCTGTCTCGAACAACAATTCTACGGATTCGAAGAGCTTCCGGGCCCACTCGCCCACGCCTTGTTCGCGGACTCCCACTGCCTCTCCCCCCATCAACTCATAGCCCTCCTTAACCTGGTCAGGTTGCTGGTGGACGTTTGTCCTGTTGAGCTTCGGCACCACTTCCTGCCCCCGATACTGGCGGGCTGCTTCCAGCGAATGGATGCCAAGATCAAGTCGGAATGGGACAAACTGGAGCAGGCGGGGAACGTCCAGGCGGCTGCGGACGAATTAACGGAGGAAATGAAGGCGGAAAGTGTCCTGCGCCAGCTGACTTACTCTGCGGTCATGATGATTGCGGACTTCCTAGATCCCGCGAGGCTGGGTAAGTGACTACTTACTCTGGATTAAGGTCCCCTCCCCCTGTATCCAGCTGACTCTCTTTTACAGACGCGCTCCCAAAGGACAAGACACAAAACGAGCAAGAGTCTGAGCTTGTACCTCAGCAGCCTTCCCTCCGCAAATTTTGCTTGATGAACTCATCCGTCATCGAGCCGCTTCTGGTTTTTATGGCTCACGCCATCGTCATGCATGACGGCAGGTGTTGTGGAGTCGTGCTTCGTGTGTTTCGATCAATCATACCCGAGTTCCGGAGCACCCACGCGGGCTCCCAAAGACTGCCGCAGGCGGAGGCACCGTCCAAGCATGCATCCACCACCGACAACTTCCCGATCCCCGAGGATACTGCGAATGCTGTTAGAGAGTTCATCTCGACGGACGTTCTCAAGGCGTGCATCACCTCCCTGCACGATCCGTACTTTGTGGAGCTGCAGCGTGAACTTGGAAACGTCATGGCGGCCGTTATTTCCAATTACAGCCCGCTTACACAGACGCCACGCGATGTGCTGTGCTCGCTTGGGAGTATCAAGCTCGAAGAGGTGGATGGTTGCATCGCAAACATTGGCCGTGCCGTGTCCAACCCTCGGCAACAACGCGGGCACATTCTTGATCTGCTCAAGGACCTCAAGGGGGTGAGCATCTCGGAGATGGGCAAGCTGCAGAAGAGCTCTGATCCGTCAGGCTTCAAGAAGAAGTCGTCCGGCCGAAGCAAGATGGCACAAGAGTTTATGACGGCCCCGGCGTCGAACGGTCGACCAATTGCCAGGCGGGACTCGCCGGATCTCAGCGGTGTGGCGGGCCTGTTCGACGGTTGAGAACTGCACTGCAGCGGGCTTCGCACGGGTAGGGGATGGCGAAGAGTGGTGTGGGAAGGGCCGGAGATGACCAGTGGCAAGTGTCGTCTGATTTTCCCGCGTGCACTCTGCCGGGAAACCTCTACATAGTGACTTGTGTAGCTAATTGTACGGTTGGTACTGCTGGCGACTGTGTCGTCGTCATCAGGAGTGCGTGCCAGCTTTCTCAGCAACTTCTCGGCACCTTGACCACCATGATGCGGTGAGATGTGCAGGCAGATTGCGGTCCAACCGCATATTTTCGCCGAGTTGACATTCACAGACCATTGTGCTTGCTTCTTTGGGCCTGCGCGGACACCACATTTGCGCTCCTGTCACCTCATATCGTGGGATTCCTCACGCCATATTTCTTATCGCCCCGCTAGTGACCCTGCATGCCTCTGCTCGTCGCCGAGTACCCATTGGCACCGTCTGTGCTACCTGTAATGGCTGCTGCAGGAGGACGGCGATTGTCTCCCGTAGAATTGATATCAGGCCGACAAGGTCCTATCGCCAGGGCCCCTGAGAGCAAGAAAAGCAATGATCCCGGCATAGGCCGGAGTTTACCGAAGGGAAACAACAGGCGAGAAGCGCTCTCGCGAGATCCTATCCGTTTAGGTTGGTCAGTCTTGTCGCTGACAAGCAGATCGCCGCGACGTCAACAGCGCCGTGGGTGAAGGTGCAGCACTCGCAGCAAAAGTCGTGGGTGGCGCAGGCTTTCCCTCGTGCGCCTCGCTGCCGATCAAACGCCATGCGCTGGGAGGATGCCGTGGGCCTGGATCTTGGGGCGAACACATCGACATATTGCCGTTTTATCTCCACGTACACAAGCCGGGTAGGCCAGTCCAGGGCAGGTCCCTCGGGTGGTCGACCCGGGTGGCCCATGGATACTCCCGCAGTGGCGGACCAATTGCCAGACCGGTCAGCGTCCGTCTGGCTTATGTGATCATGCGGAAAGGGGGGAATGTGGAGGAAAGGAAAGCCACATGCGAGATCTTGGACGCTACGCTGCCGCATTCCAGATCGCTGGGTTCGGACCATGTCGTTGTGCGACGCTCCTTTCTGCTGCTTTTTTGTTTCCCGTGCATGCTGCGGCCGTCAACTGACTTGTGCGCTTGTGATGCCAGGGATGCTCAAGAGCGCGGCGCTGGCCGTCGTGCCGCGACCAGACGACAAGACGACCAGACGTGAACACGGCGACACGCTGCCGGAATGGGACGTGGTGACCCTTGCGCCCGGCGCCGAAAGTCTCCCACATGTGCCTGATACGGACAGATGGGGACGTGGTGTTTCTCCCCGGCCTCCACCTGATGCACAGCATACCCACTCACACCCGTTGGGCGTGGTGGAGCGGTGGAGTTGGGCTGGCGATTGTGGAACTGGTGGAGTCGTCCTCCACGGCCTCGTCGGGGAATTTTAATCTTTCACAGGGAGAGGGAGGCCAGAGCAACGCCCGATGGCACGTCCTGACTCTGGCTTCTGGCCCTTTCGAGCCTCGCGTGGCCTCGCGTAGCGTCGTGCGGTGGACCCTCGACAGCATCAAGGTTGCAAGCTGCTCCCGGCGGTCCACTGCCCGCCGCCTTGCGGCTGTCGTCGTCTGGTCGTTGTTCGGACGCATGTAACGGCGCTCGTCACTGCCAGCCAGTGCCAGGTTGGGCCAACGTCGTGTTTCCTCCGAGTGCGACCTTGTTACTCGTGAGGCTCGGGAGAGGCTGCCAGTCAGGGGCCTCACCATCGCGCTTGGCAGCCGCCATTTGTTTCGACTGTCTGTCAAAGCGCAAATGTCGGTTCTTGCCCGATCAGTCATCACCCTCTTCACCTGTCTCCCCTCTCCTTGGCCTCTCCCTGCCTCTCTCTCCCCGCCTCTTCCCGCGCACACAAGAAGCAAATGCCTGGTCAGGTACGAAGGATCAGCATCTAGTGCCTGCTCCTTGGGTTGCTTGGTAAAGGCCCAGAAAGGCCCAGCAGCAATGCCAACCAGCCTAGCCGGCAGTCATCTACCATGCGGGCCAGGTGGCGCTTCCACTCACAATCGTGCTTGTACCTGTTGGACCACCAGACCACCAGTTCCCTCCTCCTCTCCACTGCCACTCCCTGCCTTCTGCGCTGTCTCTCGGGCTTGGAATAGCATCCTCGACACGCCCCCTCATCTCCAAGCCCCGTGCTGCTGCAGCTGCTCCAGTTGCCACAGCCGCTCCATTGTCAAAGAGCAAGCCTATCTATTGCGACTTCAGCCTAGTCCGCCCTGCCTTCTCAGCTCAACCTTGCGGCTACGCTACTGTTGTCAGGAACGCGCCGCGGCCCAGAGATGAACTTTCTGCTTTTCCTCCACCGTGGTACGGCAGCTCTGAGCGCGACGCCAACGCCTTGTATTCATGAGGGCGTCCAAGGGATAAGAGGGGCAGCGGGGAGGGGGGCCACTTGACCGGTGCCATGAGGGCGTTGCATTGCTTCGACGGCCTAGTCGCCCGGGGGGCTCGTCGAGCTGGGGATATCCTTACCCATCCTTACCCTCAGAGATGCAGGCCCTCCTCGCTCGTTAATGCTACCATGCTACATAATGCCCATGAGATGCCCTCCATCGTTTCAGCCCTCTTTCTGATACAGTTCTGTCTGAACCATCTCTTGAGGCATCCAGCAAGCCTGTACACCGCGCTCATTCCCTCGGACCTGTCCGCTGTGCCCTGCCCTCTGTACTGCTGTGTTGTCGCGGTGCGCCCTCGAGACTTGTCCATCCGTCTCGTCCCAGTGCAATTCCCCAAGTCGATGTCCAGGCTGCATTAGCCTCGAATCTTTCTATATTCTCCTGCCTTCTCTGCCCGGGATCCGGTCCGGCGCTACCTGCCAGTCTGCCATTCCCGCGTGTGTGAAAGCCCGCCGGTAGTCCACTACTACTTCGTCCTATCATCTTTGCGTCGATCGAAACAACCACTCTCTGCCACTCCAGACGGCCCAGAGAAACCTCGGCCTTGGTGCCCCAGTCCCCAAGACATCCCCGATTTCTTCCATTCTTGGTGTCTGGTGTCATTCCTCCTGCACAACTCCGTCCCGCTTCTCCTGGACTCTGATTCTTGGACCTTCAACTTGCATCTTACCACCAATTTGTGGGGTTATCTGTTTCTGGCCTATAGCTCAGTCACGAATGATCGCCCGTCAACAAGAGGTACGGTCAGTTTCAGCGTCTTCATTCGCCGCTCATACTCCGTCGATCGCGCACGCCCCTGCTTGAGACGTCCCTTCGACTAGCGAAGGGCACACCACCACGGCGTACTCCCGTTGTCATCTCTGGACCCCAACCTCGGAGCGAGAATACATACATACAATACCTTGACGTGCCGGCGCTGTATCCTCCTTGTTAAGTACTGGCTGGACCCCCGAGAATTTGGATATTGCAAAGCGCGGCCAATTTCCCTCGGAATCATCCTGCTCGCCCCGGATTGTAAACACGCAACTCTCATCGCCACCTGCCTGGACACGGTCGGTGACTCGCCATCATGGTTTACTGTGGGAAGCCCTCAAGGGGCTGTCAGATGTGTCGCACAAGAAGAATAAAGGTTGGTTCGCTCATGGGCAATCGACGCCACAGCCCAATTCTCCGAACCCTCGATGCGCGAGCGTATTCTCCGATACTGACGCGGACGATCCATGTAGTGCGACGAGGCAAAGCCAACATGCAATCAGTGTGCCAAGTCACGACGACAATGTCCTGGCTACAAGGACGAGTTCGACCTGGTGTTCCGCAATGAGACCAAGGCCACGGAGAGGAGGGCGCAGAAGGCCAACAGGAAAGGGTCGGTCGCCTCGTCGTCCTCGGACAGGAGCAGCATCGCCAGCTCCCCGTCGTCGATCGAGTCGCTGTCGCCCATCGCCAAGGAGTTTGTCAGGTCACCCACCGGCGAGAGCATCTCACCACTGCTCAGCATCCCCACCGACCAACTGGCCTCGTGCCACTTCTTCTCAAACTTCATCCTGGTGCCGCGGCAGGGCAGCACCAGGGGCTTCATGGATTACCTGCTGCCCCTGATGAAATCGGAAGCCCAGAACAGCCATCTCCAGCACGCCTTCAATGCCTGCTCATTGGCTCACCTGGGCAACCGTGTGAGGTCGACTTCTGAGGATATCCCCGACAAGGCGCTGTCAGAGTACACCAAGGCCTTGGCGGCAACACACACAGCGCTGAAAGACCCGGAGGCTTCAAAAACAGACGGCACGCTTGCGGCGGTCCTGTTACTGGGGTTGTACGAGGTAAGCCTGCGCCGAGCGCTGTGAAAAAGATCAGGTCGTCGACAGTACTAACAGGTCATTTCTACCAACAGAACATAACAGCAAAGGAGATGGGGATGTTCTCGTGGGGATCACACATTGAGGGAGCCATTTCACTCGTGAAGCAACGCGGGCGCAAGCAACTCAGGACCAAGACCGGGCTGCTCCTGTTCATCGCGGTGCGCACGCAGATGATCATCCACACGCTGACATCGGGCAAGGCGCCCATCATGGGGGTGGACTGGTGGATCAGCGACGCGGTCAAGGACTCAAGCGCGGCCGAGTGCCAGAAGATTAACATCAAGACGTCTGAGCTGCGGGCCGAGGTGACGAGGCTGATGACGACGGTTGCGCGGACGCCCGAGAACATCGAGCTGATGCTGACGCTGATCCGGCGGGCGCAGACGGTGGACCAGGAGTGTGTGCGGTGGATGAAGAACGTGCCCGACAGCTGGGGGTACAAGTCTGTGGCGTGGGAGGACAGCGTGCCCAGCGGCGACTTCAGCAGGGCCGAGGTGTTCCCGGGACGCGTCGACGTCTACCGCGACTTCTACATCGCCAGCGTGTGGAACATGGTGCGCGTGACGCGGCTCGTGCTGGCGTCGGTCATCGTGCGCTGCGCCGCGTGGGTGTGTTCGCCCGTCGACTACCGCACGACGCCCGAGTACGCGACCGCCGCGAGGACGTGCGTCGACACCATCACCGACATCATTGCCAGCGTGCCCTACCACCTCGGCTGGCACCTCAAGCCCGAGAGGAAGCACCTGCTGGAGAAGCAGCTGAGCGGGTTCGCGTGCGGCGACGACGACTCGCTCAAGGGGTTGGCGGGCTACTTCCTGACGTGGCCGCTGGGGTGCGTCCAGAGCCAGGACTACACGACGGACGCGCAGAGGAGCTGGCTCAAGGGGAGGCTCAAGTACATCGCCGACGAGCTGGGCGTCAAGTACGCGCACATCCTGTGCCAGGTGAGTTAACAGTCCCGAGGTCTTGGATTCTCAGATATATGTGTATGTTCTTCTCTGGACGTTTTACTGACCAGAAACTTCCCCTTCAAACAGCTCAACGTGCGCATACCATCCATGCTGATCCGCAGGGACGGGCTCATGGCGCAGCCGTACCCGATGGCGCACAACTTCGTCAAGCTCATGTCGGCGCGGTACGCGCCCCCGACGGCCGGCTACACGATGAACCCGCTGCAGCAGCGCGAGGCCATGATGAAGGAGCAGTTCGAGAGTAAGAGGAAGGAGCTCCTACAGAACGCGTCCAACAACGCCGGGCCGGGGGTCGAGTACGTCGCCAAGAGCTGGCTGAGCGTGTGAGAGGAGGGGAACCCACCCGCTGGAGTCGGTTGACCGTGTCTGATACGTACACCTTCAACTTGTCGGGCTGTCTTTGTACGTGAGGGTGTGGTATTGTTCTGATGCATGTCTCAGGACATTTTGTTTTCTTGGGCAGGCTTGGCTTTGGAGTATGTTTTTTTATTGGTACTGGGAGAGGAAGCATCTTAAATGTCTTTGAAGACGCACCCGCTGTGGTGGAGCACCGTCGGTATCCAGGGAGGGCTCACTCGAGAGAACGTACTGGACGTGGGTGACCCCATTCCAGGAGAATCGGGCCACGCATGGAAATGACTGTTGAACAATTGCTTGGCTAGCCTTAGAGGGCAGGCAGGGTGAGTCTCCCGGAAACTGTCAGCATATGGGTTGGAGTTGCTTCGGGCTTACATAGTCGGTCCTTATCCTTGAATGACCGCTGAGTTCACAAATTCTTACATAGTGTCATGACTGCGGGCGTCTATTCGCACATGGATATGGCAAAAGCAGATGTAGGAAAATTAATACAGGCCGAATTTCTACTGCAACAGATGATGCAGTAATTCCGCTTGTCAGCTGTGAAACGCATTACTACCACTGCCGTGCTGCCTAGGTATGCAAATTACCCGGCCGCGGTGCGGGTTGAATGATGGCGTGAATGGATAGACGGGCACTTGCACACATGCTTTGCTTCCACAGTCAGTCCAGTAGTATCATGAACTGATTCAAACCGTGCTTTTGATTAAGCCAGCATCCATCTCCTGAAAATCATCGAGACCAGTTCCCAAGCAGGTCTGCCTGCATTGCTAGGCTAAATGAACCACGCTTCGTAGACGAGCTGGACTTTCTACCTTGAAAAACCTCAAGACACCTAGCTGGGTATCGGTCGGCCTCGACCGCCGTGGGAGTCTGAGTGACAACCCTTGGTCACTTGTTCTTCTTGCCAGACTTGTCCGACGACAGGTTCCACGCATTGACGACCCAGCGCTGGGTGGCATCGACCTCCTTCTCGCTCTCGACCTGCTTGACGCCGACCTTGAGACCGTCCTTGGTCCAGACCACGTTCTTCTTGCCCATGCGCTCCGACACGTTGCCGCTCATCTTGGTGGCGCTCTGGTAGACATGGTAGCCCACAAAGACGAGGCCGGCCACGACTAGGATGAATATTATGAGAGGGACAAGCTGGCTGTACGTATGCAATCGGGGCAGAGGTTAGCTTTTGGGCAATGTGACGAGCGAGTTCGCCTTTGCTGAGTGGGTAGGACTTGCCGGAGCAACGAGGGGGGCGGTTGAGGCTTTGACTTCCCCCAGGCCATGATGTCCTGGTTTGTCCGACGGGCGGCTGCGCGCTGGCAATGACTCGAGAGGCTCGGCTGCGGTCCCAGGTACCCCGTGGCTCCGTTCGCCGGATGCGCAGTGCCCAGGTGTCAAATGTGGGCTGCGGAGGGGATCGCCAGGGGATCGGACAGCGGCGAGGAGCCCGAAGGACGGCTTTCCGATTCGACTGGCCGACAAATGTGATAGATCCACCCGAGGCCAGCAGCAGCAGCAGCAGCAAGAACAGCCTTATCGCTGAATTTCAAAGACAAGGAAGGATCTGGATTTTGAGGCGCCCAGGGTTGATCGAGGTACGGTATGTCTTGGATGCTGTGTTCACGGAGAAAGAACAGCTTCGACAAGGAGTAGCCTGCCTTAAGTAAACGCCCAGAGTGCTTCGCTGTGGTATGGACACGGCTAGTCGGCTCAGGTCGCCCATCAGGTCGGCCAAGGTGGCTGAAGGGACCCCTGGGAAATTGTGAGGGGGACCTTGCTTTCCTCAATACCAACTGAACGAGGCCCTCTGCCCCGCCTGCCCCAAGGCCCAAGAGCCCGCCCGCCTGCCTCAAGACCTCCGCCTAATCACCGTCCGTCCCCTCGGATCCATTCGTTGAAGCTCGGGCCAGCGCTGGCTGAGACCCCGCATCTGCCGAGCTGCCTGCTACAAGGCCGGGCAGGCTGGGCAGGCCGCTGCTCCCCTCTTTACCTTGGGTGCCTCAGTACTCCCTGGCCACGTGACCGATCACATGAATTCGGCTCCACCCCCTCCAGCTGCTGCAAAGGCCAGCAAGGCTCGAGGCTGCCAGGTGGAAGGTGGGAGGGTGGAGGCTGGACCAGGCATGACGCCCGCCTGCGAAAGTCGCTGCTAGCTGTCAGGGTCAGGCGTAGCATTACCTAGCCTCACCTCGAGAGTCTCGGTCTCAGACTCAGGCTCGGGCTTGAGCTGGCTTGGTCAGACCGGAACAAGAGACATTCTGTCCTCTTTGCCATTTTTGCGCATCCCAATCGTCTCCCTCTGCACCGTATCTGGTCCACAGACTGGTTTCATCCACCTGTCCCGTCCACCCACTCGGTTGCCGGGTTCCCAAGGTTGATCTGTCCCGGCCCAGCACAGCTTGTCATTGCACCTCCCAAACAGGAAAAGGCCAGACCTCCAGAGCTGCCACCTACCTGTCAACGTCGACCAGAGCGTCACAGCTGCTCCAACCACCCCTCGACACCACAACGCCCTCCCCCGTGTAACACACACGACTCCGTCACGGGCAGTCATTCATTTCTCGTCGGTCTAGCATCCACTGCAATTGTGTTAGGCACTGCCAGAGAACATTAGTGCGGCTGAGCATCGTCCTGTCCTGCACCGCCTCCGGCGCGATCATGTCGGCACCCAATGACTACGGCCAGCAGGCCGCATTTCAACAAGGTCAACAGGTCCCCTACGCTGATGATGGCCAAGCTTACGCGAACCCCGCTGGCTCACCTCCCCCTCAAGCGACCCAGCAACCTGGCGAGGGGCAAGGCAAGAAGAAGAAGAGAGCCTACGCTGCCCAGGCCTTCGATGTCGGCAGCGGTGCGAATGCTGCCGTAGGAGGCCAGCTCCCAGGCGGCGGACAGTTCGGCACTCCTCAGCCCATGGCTGCTGGCTACGGATACCCAGGTCAGGACGCACAACCTCAGCCTGCCCCTTACGGCGCTCCCCAGACATACGGCTCGCCGGCCCCTGCTACCCCGGGCTTCCAGCCGCCAGACGCCTATGGCGCTCCCGCGCCTGGTGTAGGTGGCATCACGCAGGGCATGGCAGGCATGCAGATGGGACCAGGACAGGGACAGCCAGCGCCCCAGCAGATGCCGCCTCAGGCCCAGCCTCGCATCGGGCCCCTCAACCAGCTCTATCCAACAGACCTCTTGAACCAGCCCTTCAACGTATCCGAGTTGGACTTGCCGCCGCCTCCGATCATTCTGCCCCCGAATGTAGGTCCGCCACGAGCCCAAGCCCTTGCAGAAACTGACCAGAAGCACAGTCCAGCTGTACTCCTTCCCCGGAGGCGAACTGCCCCCCGAAGTTCATTCGATCCACGCTCAACGCCGTGCCCACGACGCACTCCCTCCTCAAGAAGTCCAAGTTGCCGTTCGCCCTTGTCATACAGCCATACACATCGCTTCATGACCTGGACGACCCGGTCCCTGTCATCCAAGACCAGGTTATTTCTCGCTGTCGGAGGTGCCGGTCGTACATCAACCCATACGTCACCTTCCTCGACCACGGGCACAGATGGCGCTGCAACATGTGCAACCTCTCGAACGACGTTCCTCAGGCCTTTGATTGGGATGCCGCGGCTCAGAAGAGCGTCGATAGGTGGCAGCGCGCAGAGCTGAACCATTCTGTGGTGGAATTCGTCGCGCCCCAGGAGTACATGGTTCGACCCCCGCAGCCTCTGGTCTACCTCTTCTTGTTCGACGTGAGCTACGCGGCTGTGTCCACGGGGCTCTTGGCGACAAGTGCGCGGACGATTCTGGACAGTCTCAACAGGATACCCAATGCGGACCGTCGCACTCGCCTCGGTTTCGTGGCCGTGGACTCCAGCCTGCATTATTTCTCAATTCCCAAGGATGCCGACGAGAACGGCGAGACGAGCATGCTTGTTGTCAGCGACCTTGAGGAGCCCTTCATGCCAGTGCCTACGGAGCTCCTGGTGCCCCTGTCAGAGTCGCGACAGAGCATCGAGAATTTCCTGACAAAGCTTCCGGACATGTTTGTCAACAACCAGAACAATGGATCTTGCATGGGATCGGCTCTGCGATCTGGCCACAAGCTGATCTCCCCGCTTGGAGGTAAGATCGTTGTCCTCAGTGCCTCACTGCCGAACCTGGGCCACGGCAAGCTCGAGATGAGGGAGGACAAGAAGCTTCTGGGCACCTCCAAGGAGAGCAGCTTGCTCCAGACCGCAAACAGTTTTTACAAGAGCTTCGCCGTCGAGTGCTCCAAAAATCAGGTTTCAATCGACATGTTCCTGTTCTCCTCGCAGTACCAGGACGTCGCATCGCTGAGTAACCTTCCACGGTACACCGGTGGTCAAACGTGGTTCTACCCTGGGTGGAATGCTGGACGACCCGAGGATGCCATCAAATTTGCATCTGAATTCAGTGACTACCTCTCGTCTGAGATCGGCCTGGAGGCTGTGCTGAGGGTGCGCGCCACTACTGGTCTGAGGATGAACACCTTCTACGGCAACTTCTTCAACCGGAGTTCGGACCTCTGCGCATTCCCGGCCTTCCCCCGCGACCAGTGCTATGTCGTCGAGGTCGCCATCGACGAGACATTGTCCAAGAGCATGATCTGCATGCAGGCCGCCGTTCTTCACACGACGTGTAATGGCGAGCGCCGCATTCGTGTCTTGACATTGGCCCTACCCACCACCCAGAGCTTGGCAGATGTGTATGCTTCTGCTGACCAGTGCGCCGTCACCACGTACTTCAGCCACAAGGCAGTGGAGAGGGCGCTGAGCAACGGTCTGGACTCTGCCCGCGACTCCCTGCAGACCAAGATCATCGAGTTACTACAGACCTTCAGGAAAGAGTTGGCCGGCGGCAGCATGGGCGGTGGTCTACAGTTCCCCGCCAACCTGCGCGGCCTGCCAGCCCTCTTCCTTGGGCTGATCAAGAACGTGGGTTTGCGGAAATCAGCGCAGATCCCCTCGGATCTCAGGTCCGCAGCCCTATGTCAGCTTTCGACGCTACCTCTGCCGCTGTTGATGCAGTACATCTACCCCCGGCTGTACTCGTTGCATGACATGCCCGACATTGCGGGCACTCCAGATCCCGAGACAAGCCAGATTGTTCTGCCACCTCCTCTGAACCTCTCGTCTGAGCGTTTCGTATCATATGGCCTGTATCTCATCGATGACGGCCAGACGCAGTTCCTGTGGGTCGGACGGGATACGGTGCCCGCCCTGCTCCAAGATGTGTTTGGGGTTGCCGACCGGACGCAGCTCCATGTCGGCAAGGGAACATTAGCAGAGCTGGAGAACGACTTCAACGAGCGTGTGCGCGCGGTCATCCAGAAGAGCAGGGACTACAGGTCTCGCGGTGTGGGCAGCATCATCCTGCCTCACCTCTACATTGTCCGTGAGGACGGCGAGCCGAGCCTGAAGCTCTGGGCGCAGACGTTGTTGGTGGAGGACAGGGCAGACCAGGGGATGAGTTTCGCGCAGTGGATGGGAGTGCTGCGAGAGAAGGTACAATTCTGAACACCGCCCTGGCCCAGTCCGTCTGGTCGCCTGCTGACAAATTTATGGCTAGGTCGTCCAGTGATGCAACCACGAGCGGCATGTTTTAAGTAGCGATAACAATTGTATAGATTCCCAACAGCATCTCTGAAAGGGCCCCTGAAAGTGGTGTTGGGAGGAGGAAGACAGCTTCGTGCAATCTAAGCAATGACCAACTGATGTGGTCGCCCGGCCTCGGGTCCGTGCCGGCCGGCCAAGGTCAAGCTGGCCCGGCGGGGATCCGGCCCTTAGTAATGAGACGAAATCATGCAGGAAACAAAATCATGTGCCGTGTTTCGAACTCAGATGCATGCATGCATATATGCACTAGCAGACTGCCCGGCCACAGTACCGGCGACCCATGCGTACGTAGCTCAGTGAGCCCTCCGGGCCGGATCCGACACCATACGGCCACAGAGGCGGTCCGAAACGGAGGCCAAGGGCCCCGTGGATCCCCTTGTTTACAGGCAGACGGTGACCGCTTCCAAGGTGGCGATGGCAGGTCCGTTATTAGCAGGTGCATGAGGTCACTGGGCCTTGGGGAAGGGCCGCCCTGTGGCTGAGCGGATATGCTTCGAGACTCAACCAAGCACGCCCGGTAAGCAACAGCCTCAATCCACAAGACCGGCGCCCCAAACGTGGCCGCAAGGCGGAAGGACTTGGTTGCCCTCCTTCCGGGCCCGTCATCCCAAAAATAGAAGTCCCGCGTACGGCCCAGCAGAGCAGGACAAAGGAGGACACAGCATTTTGCGATGCAGGTGAGAATGCGGCGGTGGGCCACTACTGTAGCGTATTCAGCAACAAAGGAGACCCCGTTTTCAAGCAGGGCAGGACGGGGGGCCGGCCACAATATTCTGTGGCTCGTGGACGGGACCGCGGTGGATGAAACGGCCACGAGGGACCAATGGTGCGCTGAAACACACGCGCCCAGCAGCCCACGGCTGGCGCGTAATCTGGGCGTTGGTTGGGCGGTGGGGCTCAGTCACACCTGGGACCTGACGGCACTTGTCTGATTAGCTAGGGCTGGCTGCTGGCTGGCAAGTGGTTTGTGAGGGTCGGCGTGTGCGTTGGGAGAGCTCGGCTGCGTCTTCCATGCGCTGGCGGCTGTGGTTGGCTGGGAGGGAGGGCATGGCTCTGGATGGTGCAGTCCCTCCTGAATGACACCTACGATAATCGGGAATGTATCGATGGATTTGCCGTGGATCGCGCGGATTCTAGACCATCTACTCTACTGTGCCTGTCTCGCTTCACCTGGGCTGACGGCGCCCCTGCTGACAGGAGGGCCCTGACCGAATGAATGAGGTGTACGGATCGAGACAAAGGAGTTGCAAGCCAGCCCAGCCAGCCGTCCAGCCGTCCGTTCCAGGCCCGGGAACGACGGGCACTGCAGACAGTCGGGCTCAGTTGGTAAGCGAGCACTAAGTGAGTGGGCAAGTACCCAGGTAGGTGCTATGTATGTGCTATATGTGCCATGCATGTGTGCAAGTGGGCGACGGGATGGTGAGATTGGGCTTGGGAGGCGGCCCATGAGCCCGGTCGCACTGCTCAAACGGGAATGGAGGAGGGCCAGCTGCCCACAGCCCAGCACCATATTAAGACGGGTTGGTTCATTGTCTTGTTTGAGGCCCCCCTGGGACCTGAACCTGGAAGGGGCCATGAGAAAGAAGAGGAAGATAGATCTATCTTATGTCATTTAGCAGAGTCTCAAGTCAATTCTTCTGCGGTGCCTCCTCTTGTAGTCCGTCTCTGCGGCTGTGATCCACTCACTACATATTATTGTTGTCTGCCGCCGTATAAGCCAGGCCCGTTGCCCGTTTCTGTCGATCTGCTACCACCCAGTAGGTTCTGCTCTGCCAACCGAGTACGGATACATAGACCGGACCAGACCAGACCAGACCACGGGCACCAAGAACACGGGACACCCCTCTCTCAAAGGAAACCAACCTCGAACCCTTTCTTTCCCACTCCCGTCTTCTCTCACCTCGGGTTTCTTGACCTGACCTGACCTGACCTGATCTGACCTCACCTCACCTCACCTCACCTCGCCTGCCCATCGAGTCTCGTCCCCTCCCCGCAAGGAGCCAATCGTTGTGACGGTGTTCCTGGATATTCGTTCGGCTTCGTCTCGAGTTCGCCCGCCCTTCCCCCCCCCCCCAGCTGCAAGCTGCAAGAAAAAGAGGTTTGTACATTCCAGCTTGTTCTCTTCCTCGCTTGGCCCCCCCCCCCAGTCGCAGTCCCAGTGTCAGTCCCAAGTTGGGATCCGAGAAAACCACCCCCCAGCACAACCCCAGCTGCTCCACTCAGGAGTCGCGACTGTATCGGACGAAGAATACAGTTATCTCGGCCCGCAGCTCTGTTACAGGACCCCCTCGCTCCTCTGCCCCCTTCCCCTTGCATCCGCACCCGCTGCGCTGCGTTGTACTGTGCTGCACAGCAAGTTTTAGTGCCACAGTGCACCGGGCCCGCCTCAGCCAGTCTGCATGTCCGCCTGGTGGTTCTAGAAGACGATCCTGCTCTTCTGCTGGCTGTCGAGCTCCGGGCGGGTTCCAAGGGGCCCCAGCTGGGTATGCTTGTCGGCGCTTCTCCCGCGACCCAGGGTTCAGGCCCAAACACCTGCTCTCGAGCCCTCTGCACCCGGAGACCAGGGCTCTAGACCTCACCTCTTGGGGCCTGCGACTCAATGCCCTTTCCGTCATCCCCGTTGCTGCTGTTTCAGCCTGCCCATTCTCGCCCTGTCCCCAGCCTGTCCTGTCGTCCCCCCTCCGAGCTGCAAGCTGGTGGTCTGGTTGCTGCTTAGCCTTGGGGCTCCTCCTGTCGCATCAGGGCCCGCTGACGATTTGATACTCTCTTACCTAGGTGGTTTCTTACTGCACACATACACACACACACACACTTATACACACAAGCGCGCACGCACACACACGCACACAACACAGAGTCCACTTGCAACCGGCAGATACGACACGAACCAGGGGGCTGAGGAAGTCGACGAGCACGAGCACGAGCACCGATACGACACCACAAGCACCAGAAACCAGGACCAGGACGAGGTGCAAGACCCCGCCCTCTAGCCATCCCCCCACCCCACTTTCCATCCAGGGCCAAGCCCCCAGCTCTGGTTGTCTCCCTCTCTGCTCTTGACCCCGACCACACACACACCACACACCAGACCACGCCAGAGACTTTCATCCAGTCTGCTGTCTGTCTCGTTCAATTCCTTGCAGACGGCTCAATTCGAAGCAAGCATCGTCCCGCTGCCAGCCACCTCCCGTCCTTTCGACACGACAGTGTTGCCGTCGCACATCTAACCAACAGCTGGACAGCCAACCAGCTCACCCACGCACCCCTCGGCGCCTTGACTGCATCCGAGGACCAAGAGACGGCTGCACAACAGCGCTCGAGCCGCCACACTCACGACCTGTACAGTTGCACGTCCGGGCCTGACTGGTCTGCTTCGGACACCACGCTGCGCGATCTCTGTGCCACCGTCCCTGGCTGATCTGTCTCGTCGTCAATCCTGATACCGCCGTGTCGGGACGTAGCAGTTGATCTGTTTCTTGCTGCGAGGACTCAAGCCTGCCTCGGCTGCATCCTTCCTCCACAATGTCTCGAGCCCAGCCTCCGAACCCTGCGGGCTCCCGCAAGATCTCCTTCAACGTGAGCGAGCAGTATGATATCCAGGATGTCGTCGGAGAGGGAGCATACGGTGTTGTCTGGTGAGTCCGCTCCCGGGCGCAACTTTGTTGACAAGGCCGCCGTTGCTGATGAGCCTTGCAGCTCCGCGATACACAAGCCCTCGGGCCAGAAGGTCGCCATCAAGAAGATCACACCCTTCGACCACTCCATGTTCTGCCTGAGGACCCTCCGTGAGATGAAGCTCCTGCGCTACTTCAACCATGAGAACATCATTAGCATTCTCGATATCCAGAAGCCTCGGAGCTATGAGACCTTCAACGAGGTCTATCTGATCCAGGTGCGTCCCCTCAGAGCCCATGCCTGCCTCATACCTATAGCCCGCGCTAACATGTGGCCTGCCTTCCCCAGGAGCTGATGGAGACTGACATGCACCGTGTCATCCGCACCCAAGACCTCTCCGACGACCACTGCCAATACTTCATCTACCAGACCCTCCGGGCATTGAAAGCCATGCACTCGGCCAACGTCCTGCACCGAGACCTGAAACCCTCCAACCTGCTCCTCAACGCCAACTGCGACCTCAAGGTGTGCGACTTTGGTCTTGCCCGTTCGGCCGCCTCCCAGGAGGACAACTCTGGCTTCATGACCGAATATGTCGCGACGAGATGGTACCGTGCGCCAGAGATCATGTTGACCTTCAAGGAGTACACCAAGGCCATCGATGTATGGTCTGTGGGCTGTATCCTCGCTGAGATGCTGAGCGGAAAGCCCCTCTTCCCGGGCAAGGACTGTAAGTCGCAGCCCCTCGCATTGCGCGCGACGCCTCTGGTATATTATCCCCAAAGTTGACACCACTGCCCAGACCACCACCAGCTTACCCTCATCCTCGACGTTCTCGGCACCCCAACGATGGAGGACTACTACGGCATCAAGTCCCGCCGAGCTCGGGAGTACATCCGCTCTCTGCCCTTCAAGAAGAAGGTCCCGTTCCGAACCCTATTCCCCAAGACCTCTGACCTGGCATTGGACCTCCTCGAGAAGCTCCTGGCCTTCAACCCCGTCAAGCGCATAACGGTGGAGGAGGCGCTCAAGCACCCGTACTTGGAGCCTTATCATGACCCCGATGACGAGCCGACCGCGCCACCAATTCCCGAGGAGTTCTTCGACTTTGACAAGCACAAGGACAACCTCAGCAAGGACCAGCTCAAGCAGCTCATCTACCAGGAGATCATGCGGTAATCCAGGGATCGCAACACGCAGGTACCAACCCCGCCAGTGTTGTATTGGTGTTTTGAAAAAAAGGCAGGAATTGAAGATGTTTCGCACATGGCCATGATACCACACGGTGAGCTGGATATACGATACTCGGATACTCTGGGGAGGGGGTGGGACAGAGCATTGGAATTCGGGCGGTGAGCTACTTCGTCGTCATTTAGGAGAGAGCATGAACGTCACACGGGATGGTAGCTGTTTTTGATGCCAGGTCTTCTGGGAATTTCCCTCGATTGATATTCTAAAGCATCCACGGTTGGGAGCCACTGAAGGGATGAACTCGTTGGTTTCGCCGCCCCCCGAGTTTGTCGTTGTGCCAGTCCCTGAGGTAAGGCAGGGATAACGGGTCCAGGGCTCCATCAACCAACCTATTGTAGGTATGTATGTAGGTAGCTAGTTGTAGGTCACACGGGGTGACTTGGGGGTAAAGGGGACCATTATAGACTTTGCAATACATTCAGTCATTTGTTCAAACCCCCCGCAAGACTCCCGACTCGTCAATGCGCAGGCAGGCAGTCAGGTCAGTCCTTCATCTCCATGTGAAGCGCGAGTCGATTTGCCGTATGGGTCGGACGATGTTGCGCGGGGCCCATACACACATATCACAAGCCAAATGCAGAGCTCAACCCTATTTCCGTCAATCTCATCATGCGTGTGGCTGGCTTACACACCTGTCCCGGGGACATCTTGGGACAAGACGCCCGCTGCACGGCCCCGACCTCCCCTCCCCCCCCCCCCCCAACCGATGCGGTTGCTTTGCTCCCGCCCGCAGCTGAGATGACGGGCAGATGCCAATTTTTGGGGGGGGGGGGGTGGGCAGGCACCCCCTCCTTCACTCCCCCCGTTGCGACCTTGGGCAAAATTTCAAACAAACTCAATCGCCAGTCATCGGACCTGGCATATGATTGAATGCTGGTCCTGCTATCACAGTCATTACTGTGGTACATGGATATATATATGGGGCTCATCCACCCAACCCCCCCCCCCTTCTCCTAGATGCTCTTTGACCGTAGGGAGGGGGATCTGCTTTTTTTGGGTATCTCAAAATCGAAACGCAAGACATACTGCTTGTTGCTCCGGCGCCGCTTCCTGGCTTGCTCCTGATGTGCCAGCGACCCATTTGAATTATTATCCCCACATTTTCCAACCCAATTGGCCCCTTCTCCCCCCATCCCTTCGCCTACCGGCGGCCATCGATCAAAAATGCTCTTGGAGCTGATTTTCTCGTCCTTTGCGGTGCTCAACCTCATCCTCCTGCCTCCGATGTTGGGCTTCTCTCTGCAGAGCTGTCGCCTGCCGAAGAGACGGAGATCGAAAGCATTCTGATCCCGGGACCCTGAATCTCGAGGTGGTCCCTCCTTCCCTGGGTTTGCTGTTAAGCGTCTCGACTTAGCCTCGAACGATAACTTTAAGGCGGATGACATACGTATCCAACGACAGTGACCTGGATGAGTGGTAGGATGGGCGACAGGATATCATCAATCAAGCCAACAAATCGCCTCAACGCCGTCCTCCGCGGCCAATAACCCACATCTCGACGCCCAACACCCCAAACTTCTCGCCCTCGTCACTCAGCGGCTCATTCCCGAACGTCAGGCAGCGCGAGCTGATGCCCCTCGCCAGCGAGTCGTTCAGCCACAGGCCGTAGTGCCCGTCGCCACCCCCTACGGACAGGCAGTGGGGCTCGCAGTACATGTAGAAGTCGTTCTCGCCGCTGTATGGGAACGCCTTGAAACGGATCGACGGACTCATTGGGATGTTGGGGCTGGGGGTCCTGGCCGGGGAGGGTACCTGTGGCGGAGGCGGGGCTGGGGTCACGCCGAGTAGCGAGGGCACGGGATCGGTTGACGATGCTGGCTTGGATGGCAGGTTGTCGGAGAAGTCGATGAGCAGGTCTTCCTCTGGCTCTGGGTTTGGTGGCGGTGGTGGCTGTGGTCTTGGGAAGCGGGACTGTGTGGGGCTAGATATGGTTGTGACGCGGGTGAGGTTTGTCGTGTCCTCTGACGGCGGAGGGGGAAGGGCTGCCAGGACGGATGCTCGCCAGAGGAATGTTTCCCCGTTGCCGAAGTAGTGTGGTGATGGATGTGGTGATTCGGAGAGGTAGGCGCCAAAAAGCTGCACGTATCAACATCATCGGTCAGTCACGTAGTCCGTATCTGTGTAGGTGGTACCGTGTGCAACACTCACGCCACCGTAGCTGTCCCTGACGACGAGGACAAAGCTGTTTCGCGTGCCCTGATACGGGCTGCATTTCTCATATAGTGTCCCCAGGCTCGCCCCGTCCTGGTCCAGGCTGTAGACAAGATTCCACTCCTCCTCGATGCGCTGCCGCTCCGGGATCATTATGCGTATCTCCTCTGCGACCGCAGGCGTTAGCAGCCTCGCGGCCTCGGTGGTGTCGTCCCTGAAGCCCTTTAGCTCCAGCGGCTCGAGGGGCGGTGGCCTCAGTGGGGAGGCAGATCTGTTTATGGGGGGTGTGTAGACGCCATTTATGCCGTTATTCCAGTGGTGTGGATAAGAGAGCGGGCTGCCCAGCGAGGCTGAGGACTTGGACATGTCGTCGGGGTGGCCGTGGTGGCCCCCCTGCACCGCGGTCATGTCTGAAAAGCGGCGGACGAGGCCGCCGAACCCACTGGCGATTCCGGAGAATGAGTGCGTGAGGAAGGTCGAGGAGGCGGCCGAAGCGGTGGGAGTGGCGGCTCCAGACGACGAGGGCGAGTAGTCGCCGGGCTGTCCATGTCGGACTGGTCGGTCGTGATAGGACATATTGGCGTTGAATGTGGTGTTTTATCGTCAGAAATCCAAAGGTAGACGTGGTGCAAGGAGGCAAGCCAGCAGGCGCCCTTTTGACTCGGAGTGGAAGGTAGAGCGCGGGACTCTCTCTTGGGACTTGGGATGAGTGAGAACGGTCAACGTGTCTCACTCACGGCCACCATGTCAACTGCGCCGTTCAACCGATGGCGCTCTCTCGCTTGCTGTGGGTGGGTTGCACAAAGCGTTCGCTTGCTCAGGCTCTAACAAGACCGAGGACAAGGAGAAACGAACGGCAGGCTGGGTTGGGGGTGTTTTGTTTCGCTCCGTTCTGGGTTGTTTTTGTGTAGGGAGATTGGCGATGGTAGATAAACAGGCAACCAGGGAGAATAATAGGTAGGTAGGGATCCATCGAACTATGGCACTACTTTCCCCGGGAAGGATGGAGTGCACAGGGGCTAATCCTGGGCTGAACCCCAGCCCTGGATAGCCCATGACGTGCTGCCAAGCCGAGGCTTCAGCGCCTCGGCGCTGCACTGTTGACACACGTGTGCCTGGCAACGCAGTCAGAGAACCATTTTTATTACTGCGTGCTACAGTATACCGTATGACACCTGCCTTATTGCAACTTGGTCACTGAGGCTGACCTAGGCACATGTTGCGCCCACGCCATTTCGGGGCATGCTGTTACTAAAGGCATAGCCCATCATGGGGCGACTCTGGTGCACGCCTTTACCTGGATAGCTAATGGAGCAGCCCACCGGACCACTCGCTCGCTTGTCTGTCGACCGGGCAGCCACTATGCTTCAGCACGACAGGTTGGTATATCCCCGTCCGGCTCGACTCGGCCGAGATATCCCAAGTCTTTGGCATCGCCAGTCTCGCTCGAGACCATGACCTGTGTCGATCATGATATCCGCGACATGAACTGTTGGATCCCCTCGAGGACGCCTTCTGGGCTCGGCTTCTCAGCGCACACGTCTGGGTCGAGGCCGAACGTCCTCTGCAGGTAATTCCTCGTTGTAGGCCCAATTGTGGCGACGAACCTCGTCCTGTTCGGATCGTTGGGCTTTGCCTTCCCTGTCGCCTCGTCTATCATGCCCAGGCCGCGCAGCATGGCGTCGCAGCCCGTCGGCGAGAAGACGACGATCCAGACCATCCTGCTCTCCTTGGTCTCCTGCAGGCGCCTCTGGAAGTCGTCTGCGAACGACTCCATAACCCCAGTGCCGTAGACCACGACCTCGTCAACCTCGATTCGCCTGTCACTTGGCAGTTTGTCGTCCATGACGGTCTTGGGGATGATGTCTCTCCTTTGCTCGCCAACCATGAACAGCAACGCGGGCTTCTCCTCGGTCCGGTCTTGGTACCACTGCGCATAGTGGTCCAGGATGAAGTGGGCGAGGCTGTCGCCGTTGCCTGTGTGCTCACCAAATACCCGTAGGGGAGGGTCCTGGGGGACAGCCTTGAGCGCCCTTGTGGTGGCCGGCCCGACGCTGTACACGGGGACCTCCTGGAGATGGGGCCACGACAGGGTTGTTTTGGAGGGATCGCTCTGCTTCTCACCTAGAACTCAACGTGAGCCATGGGTACGAGGAAGAGCCGAGGATCTGAAGGATAGTTTCCTCACCTGGGCCGTCCTGAACAATCTTTGTGAATGCCTCCACAGCTCTCTGAGACGTGAAGACGAGTCCACCGTATGCTGCCCCGAAGTGTTTGCCGACCACCTGGGACTGCAGGATAGACCGGACTCGTGTCACGCCGGCCTCCTCGAACCGGTGTTCCAGTACTGGCACAAAGGAAGGCACAAAGGAGACCCCCCCCTGCGGCTGCGAGAAGAGATCCTCATAGCTGTCTCCGGGTGTCGATTTGGTCTTGAGCAGCAGTATCGGCACCCCTCCGTCTCCTGCACCACCTGCTGCTGTTGTCGACATTGAAACTCAGCAGAGAATTGTCCAAGGCATAGGGCAGGATAACCAAGCAATAAACATGGGAGAGCCGTGAGTTTGGCTTTTTTTTGGGGGGGGGGGGGGCAGGGCGGTAAAATATAAAATTGTCCGGATTGGCGGCTATCTGCTCGGGTTGTCTCCAAAACCATAGCAGTAGTTGAGTGAATGAGTTGGTGTGTAAGTAGTGGGGCACCACAGCTCTTGGCTCTCATTGTCTGATGTTAGTGAGCCGAAACCAAAGCATTTGTGACTACACACTTCAACAACTGAATTGGATTCCTAGACCGATCGAATCTAGGGCAGAAAATTCGTACGTCGCAGTTTCGAATCCATGCAAAAGCCCGCAGCCTTTTGGACGTGGGCTCGAAGAAGGGAGCGAGGCTTACAAATCCCGAGGCCCGAATTATTACAATGCATCTCGAGGGTTCGCCCAGCCCAAGCAGGTGACGACGCCGACGGCAGGAAGCTTGTTCACTTCAGTCCAACAACTTGAACGGAACAACAGGGCGCGCCGCACGAAGAGCAGAGTACCACACATGGCCGAGGAACCACAGCGCAACGAGTCGCAGTCAAATGGGCATGCCACTGCCGTTGCGACAGAGCCCGCGAAGCCGCTGCCGCCAGGCGTCGTCCTCGGGCCCGGTGGCAAGCCGTATGTTGTTGGATCTGGTCCCGGATCTGGTCTCTGATCTGGTCTCTGCAACAGCTGACACCGCTCGATAGTTGCCGTGCATGCTCAAGCAAGACCGCCTTCTCCGCCCTGGCCAAGTCCATGAAGGCACCGGCCTCAACCGCATCAACCACACCATCCAAGACGAGCACAGTCACCACCGCCCCGCCGACCGACTGCCCAGCCGACGTCGAGACCCTTGGACGGAGCACATGGACACTCCTCCACTCGATAGCCGCCACGTACCCTACCGCCCCCAGCTCGTCCCAGCAGAACGACCTGGTCAGCTTCGTCCGGCTCTTCTCCCGCCTGTACCCGTGTTGGGTCTGCGCCGACGACTTCCAGGGCTACATAGAGAAAGACCCCGTCAAGGCCGGCAGCCGCGGCGAGTTTGGTAAATGGCTGTGCGACGCCCACAACGACGTCAACAAGAAGCTGGGCAAGCCCGTCTTCGACTGCTCCAAGTGGGAGGAGCGATGGCGCACGGGTTGGAAGGACGGGAGATGCGACTGACCGTGGGCATCCAACGGTCCGCCTCGCCATCGGCACATAGTGTACGACTACAGAACCACATAGACTCGGCATCCCTGAGGTAGGGAGCCGGTAAACCCATCACCACTCAGTTCCTATGGATAGACCAGAACAGCTCTGGGGACTCACCTCCTGCATTATCGGACTAGCACTCCAAATATAGACAATCTGGTACACAGCCCATCACACGGGTCTGGATACCGACAGTCCGGGTCGAGAAATCGCATCTGGGCAAGCCACAAAACGTTGGCAGGGCTTGAAAAAAGTCGAGATCCTCGTAACTTTTGAGGGCTGACAAGACGGGCATAGTATGAGCATCGACCACCCAGTATGCCCCTTCGGCTCAGCAGAAAACTGGGTCCGTATTTTCGACCAGTTGGGCAACGTCAAGAATCCGTCTGGCATGGCCGAGTGCAATCCTTCCATCAATGAAGAGCTTCGTGCAGAGGCAATCCATCATCAGAGCGCATCAGGTGTGCTGAAATCATGCCACCGTCTCCGCGTGCTTGTTGCGGCTTACTGTGCCGTACGCATCAACAGAGAAGTCCCTCGTCGGCCGGGAAGCACGAGGAATTCTTTCCGCCATGTGGAATCGGCCCGCTGAGTCGTGATCGTGGTCTGACGTTATGGCCCAGCACTCGCTATCGCGAGATTTGGCCTACGCTATTCTGGAGTCTACCGTATATCGTCGCCGCTGCTAGCCGCGCTGGCTGAATTATATATGTTTTCCATGGCAAGCAACATCAGGAGGTCTCAAGTGAGGCCGTGTCCTCATCATTGCAGGCCTTTTTCAAGCTCGTTCCTCTCTACTTTCTGCTCTCTTCCCGAAGTATAAGAATGGGTTCCACCGACTACGGGCTGGACAGCCTCGAAGAGCCTATGGATGTGGCCAAGTACCTTTTCACAAGACTGCACCAAGTGGGCATCAGGTCCGTCCATGGCCTCCCTGGTGATTATAATCTGGCCTCTCTCGACTACGTTTCAGAGTGTGGACTGAAGTGGGTTGGCAATGTGAACGAGCTCAACGCAGGCAAGTGTTGTCTTCCAGGACATATGTGTGGCGGCTATAGTTAATTCAACTCACAGCCTATGCTGCGGATGGGTACGCTCGCGTCAAGGGCATCTCTGCTCTCATGACCACCTTTGGTGTGGGTGAACTCAGCGCCCTGAACGGGATAGCTGGGGCTTTCGCGGAACAAGTGCCTCTCGTCCATATCGTTGGCTGTCCGTCGACTACATCAGAGCAGAACGGGCTGCTACTCCACCACACACTGGGCAATGGAGACTATAATGTCTTCAAGAACATGTCAAGCTTGATCTCGTGCTACGTCGCCAAGCTCAACCAGCCAAACCTGATCGCACACGAGATTGACACGGCCATTCGCGAGTGCTGGATCCGCAGCAAGCCCGTGTACATCATGGTGCCTTCGGACATGATTAAGGAGAGGATCGAGGGAGCCCGTCTCAGAACTCCTATCGACTTGTCCGACCCAGTGAATGACCCTGAGAAGGAGGCATATGCTGTGGATGTGATCCTCAAGTACCTGTATGCGGCGCGGAATGCCATTATTCTTGTCGATGCTTGCGCTATTCGTCACCGAGTTGTGAGCGAGGTCCACCAATTGCTCGACAAGACACATCTCCCTGTGTTTGTGGCTCCCATGGGCAAGGGAGCCATTAACGAACAACACCCAACTTACGGAGGCATCTACGCTGGTAATGCATCCCACCCGAATGTGGCCAAGGCTGTAGAAGCTGCGGATCTAGTCCTGAGCATCGGTTCCCTCAAGGTAGGCTGTACCATTGGGTGACCCTTCCTGTTCTGGGCCACGACCCGCTGACACCTATCACAGAGCGATCTCAATACCGCGGGTTTTTCGTACCGGCTGTCCCAATTGAATACTATCGACCTTCACAGCACCCACTGCACAGTACGGTACTCTGAGTACCCAGGTGTGACCATGAAAGGCGTCCTACAAAGAATCATCAACACGGTCGACACCACCAAACTCTCCGCGGTTCCCTCACCCAAGGTGGAGAACCAAGTCGCCGCCAATGATGATGAATCGTCTGCGATTACGCAGTACTGGCTGTGGCCGCGTGTCGGCGAGTACCTCAGGGAAGATGACATTGTCATTACGGAGACGGGTACTGCCAGTTTTGGCATTTGGGAAACGAAGTTTCCCAAGGGTGTCATCGCATTAAATCAGTGAGTTGCTTTTGAAGATTATCCTCAACGCCTTGGTGGATGCGCATCGGCCACCTCACTGCTTGTATCCACATCACTTGTCAGGGTGCAGCTAAGTGAGGTAGATTTCGGAGGAACATGACTTGTTCACCTCCCATTCTGTGTAGGACTTGTCCTGTGATTCCTGTGAAGCTGACTCCGGATTCTACAGAACGCTATGGGGGTCGATTGGCTGGTCCGTAGGTGCCTGTCAGGGCGCCGCGCTTGCGGCAAAGGACGCGGGCGTCGACCGGCGGACGGTGCTGTTCGTTGGCGACGGCAGCTACCAGCTCACGGCGCAGGAGGTCAGTACGATCGTCAGGCACGGACTGCGGGTCACGCTGTTCTGCATTTGCAACGAGGGCTACACCATCGAGCGCTTCATCCACGGCGCTGAGGCCGAGTACAACGACATCGCGCCTTGGAGGTTCAAGGACACCCCCGCCGCCCTCGGGGCATCCGGGGAGCAGGTCTCGACGCACGTAGTGAGGACTAAGGCGGAGCTGGACGGGCTCCTGAGGGATAGGGATTTCAACGAGGCCAGGAGCCTGCAGTTTGTTGAGTTGCATGTGCCCAAGATGGATGCCCCGAGGCCGTTGGTCATGGTTGCGAATGCTGCAGCCAAGAATAATTCAAAGGCGTGATAGGATTCAGAGGAAGGCTGCATATTCTTATCTTCGAACAGGTCTTATTGCCTACGGACAGCCTGCATTGCGAGAGTTCCTGCCCTGGCGAGCGAATCGATAGGCTGTGTAACCAATGGATCGTGTAAAGTCTCGATATCGGGTCAGAGGCGTCATGGCAGCTAGCCTGCTCAGCAACCAGCGAGGCTCGTGTAGCATTGCCCGGCTCCTGACCGACATGATGCCTCATCAAAGCTGTTCGATCCACGAAATCTGGTCTCAAGCAGGAAGGGAGGACAGAAGCTCGAACAAGGCTTTGGAATCCGGCGCGCGCTTGAGGTCATCATCCTATGTCTGGCGTCCTCACTCGCACTCGTCCGAACTTGACGGTTGATCCAATGTCTACACAGACTGTCACACTACTGTAGTCCGAACCACACACAGTCCATGCGTTAGGCCCAGACGAGTCGAGCGGCGTCTCTGTCGGTGTGTCACCCATGTTCTGCGGCAATGACAGCTTGTAGGATGTGTCCCATTGCCTGTTCATCTCAATATCGAGCGAGAGACTCCAACTCAAGACAGGATGGTGAAATGACATCCTGCGGCCTCTGCACCTTCTGAAAATGTTATGGAGGTCTGTAGTATGAACGGCATGAGGTCTCTCTCCCATGGCTGTACAGACCTGATTCGAAACCGTGCAGGGGTGCGTCTGTTCGCAAGCGACTACTTAACTCAAGGTTTGCTTTTAAGTTTGGTTACAAGAGCCGCACTTAAGTAAGTAAGTAGTTTTTAACGCCGTGCTGTCTCCGCATAGCGGATAAACGAGCTTGCCTCCCGTAGGGCATATTAGCGTGTTAAGCTAGTTTTAAAGTATATACCCCATCCCTGTTTTAATCACTCTTATTTAATAATATATAACCCTTCTTTTAATATTTCCTTTAAAGAAAATTATAAACAGCTTTTTAAAGTAAATTTTACTATAACAAAATATTAAAATAATTTATAAGTTATTTTTATAATACCCTTATTATTAAATATAAAAAATATTAATTTTTAATTTAGTTTTAATTTATATTATATATTTATTAAAATAAATAAAAAATAAAACAAATATAAGAAAAATATAAATTATTTTTATATAATAAAAAAACTTTTAATTATTTATGTTTATATATATTTTATAAGGTAACTTATAATTATTCTTATAAATTATTAATATATATATTATTATTTTATTATATATAAATTTAAAAATAAAATTATATATTTTTTTAAGAAATTCTTAACGGTATTTAACTTTTTTATAAATTTATTAAAATAAATTTAATTTTTTTTATATTATGTATAAAAGTTATTATAATTAATTATTAAGTTATAATTAAATAAAAAATTATATTAAAACTTTTTAATAAAAAATAAAATATTTTAAAACTTTTAATTTCTTATAATTATAATTTAATTATATATCTTTATATTTAAAATATTTATAATATTATATAAAGTTATTATAACTTATTTTTATTATTAAATAATAATATAATTATATTTTATTAAATAAAAGCTTTAATAAATACTTTATTTTATAAGTTAAGTTAAAAGCATAATATTTATTTAATAACTTACTCTTTATATTTTCTTAATACTTAAATTAAAAGTTTTTTAACTTATATTATATTATACTTTTAATTTTTAATATAATAAGGCTTATATTAAAATATAAGTTTATTACTTATTTAACTTTAATTAATTTATTAATAATTTTTTTTTTTAAAATATTTATATAACTTAAGCTTTATTTAATTATAATTATTTTCTTTTTTATCTTTTTATAAAATTAAAAAAAAGCTTATTATTATAATAATATTAATGCTTATTTTTAAAGTTATAATAATATTAATATATAATATATTTATATTTATATTAATATAATAATATAATATTTATATTTATATTATAATATAATATTTATATTTATATTATAATATTATTATTTATATAAAAAATAATATATAATATACTTTAATTAATATAAGTCTTTAAATATAAAAGAAATTTTAATTAAATAAAGCTTAATTTAAAAATTAAAATTATATTTTCTTTATATTTTTTATTAATTTTTTATAAATAATATTAAAAGTTATATAAAAAGTATTTTTTAAAGATTTAAAGAATTCTTCCTTAAATTTTAAAAATAAAAATTTATATATAATACTTTTTTTTCTTTAATATTTTTAAGAAAGAATTTAAAAAAAATATAAAAAAAATATATATTATTATTATTAAATTTAAATTTATTTTATAATGTTTTTTATTATATTATTAATTAAATATTATTTTAATTTTTTATATTTATATTATTTATATTATATATATATATATATATATATATATATATATATATTTATATTTATATTTATATTTATATTTATATTTATATTTATTTATATTTATATTATATATATATATTATATATTATTTATATTTTTATAACTTTATTTATTTTTTAAAATATTAAATAATTAATATATCTTTTAAGTAAAATATAATAAAAAAATTAAATATATTACTTTAATATATTTAAGCTTTTATAAAGCTTTAATAATCTTTATATTAAATATTATAAAATATTTATTTATTATATATAATTTTATAATAATAAAAATCTTATTTTTTAATTAATATAAATAAATTATATAATTATAATTTAACTTATTTTATTTCTTAAAATTATTAAAAAAATTAATTATTTAATTTTAATTTTAAAAGGTAAATTAATTTATAAATTACTTAATAATCTTTATTTTTAATTATCTTTTTATTAAATTAATATAATTATTTAATATATATCTTAACTTTATAAAAATTAATTTATATATTATATATAAAAACTTTTTTCTTATTAATTATATCTTAATATATAAGTAATAAAATAAATTTTAACTTTTTTTTAATGTAACTTTTAATATAATTATTTTATAAATAAATAAATATATCTTATTTAACTTTTATAATTAATATATAAAGAAAAAATATAAATTTTTAAAAATTAATTTTATTATAAGCAGCTTTATATTTTAATAAAAAGCTTTATTTAATATTATTTATTAAATTAATAAAATAACTTATATTATAATAAAAATAATTTTTTATATTTATTTAATATATTACTTAATCTTTATATTAATCTTAAGCTTTTTTATTTATATTTAATTATAAAAAAGCTTTATTTATTTATTATATTATATTTTAACTTTATAAAAAAGTAATAAAAAAATATATATTTTTATTATTATATATATAAATATTATTAAAAGTTTATATTTAATATTTATTAAATTATAAAAATAATTTACTATTTATATTACCTTATTATATTTTTTATTATTTACTTTTAATTCTTAGCTTTAAATATGTATTTAATAAATTATTAGTTAATTATTAATTTTAATAAATATATTATAATTATTATTTTATTTAATAATATAAAGTAATTTATATTTTTTTATATAAAAAATACTTTATTTTTATTCCTTTAATTTATAATATTATAAATATTATTAACTAAATTAAATGCATTTTTATTAAATATTTTCCTTATATATTTTAAAGTAAGGTTATTATTATAAGCTTAGGCTTTAGCCCAAGCCTTAAAGCTAAAAAGCCTTTAAAACGGGCCCAATATAAATGCCCTTTAGGCATTAGAAAAACCCTTCTTCCATATATATATATATATATATATATAATAGTTAAGGGCTCCCTTTAAGCCTTAATTACTTTTAAGGTATTATAATTTATAACCCCTTTTAATACCTCCTTGTAAATGCCTTAAAGCTAACTTATAATAATTATTAATATATTTAAAGCATAATATTATATTTTTTTTAAAATAACTTTATAAAATAAAAAAAAGATTAAAAGAAATTAAAATAAGTTTTATAATATTTTATAAATAATATTTAAAAACTTAATAATAATACTTTTTAAATAAATTTATATTTATTTTTTATTAAAAAAGCTATTTATTATTTATAATAAATAAAGCAATTAACCTTAAGCTTTTATTTATTAAAGTAATTATTTTCTTAAAATTATATTAAAAGCCTTTTAAATATTTATTATAAAAATTAAGATAACTTTTTATATAATTAATGCTTATTATATATTTTATATAAAAATAATTATTAAGTTTATAATTAAGCATTTTAATAAGGCATTAACTTATTATAAATTAAAAATTCTTTTTTTAAGGGCAGCTTATATTATTTGTTTTTAATAATTTATTTTAAGCTTTTTTTTAAGCAAGAAATAAATATAATTAAATATTATAAGTAATATAAAGATAAGTTAAGTTTCTTTATTTTAAAAATTATTCTAACCTTTATATATTTTATAATTAAAAATAATACTTTATTTTTAAATATTTATTAAAAAAAGCTTTTATATAACTTTATAAGGTAAGTTATATAACTTTAAGGAAATAAATTATAATTTAATTTACTCTTAATAAAGTATTATTAACCTTAATTATATATGCTTTAATTTTCTTTAATTACTTTCTTTATATAATTAAGTATTAATTTTATTTTTTTTAATATTTAGCCTTTTAATAAATTTTTATAAGGTTATTTTTTATAATAAAGCATTATATAATAAGCTTAATTAGCTTTAAGGCCTTGTTTTTAATTAATTTTATTATATTATCTTTAACTTTAAATAAAAGGGATTTATATTTTAACCTTAGCTTATATTATCTTATTATAATATATAATTTTTAATTAATATTAACTAAGTTAATAATCTTTCGCTAATATTTTTATTTTATTATTTAAATTATATAATAAAAGTGTTATTTATTATTTAAAGCTTTTTTTTAAAAGTTTTATTTATTTAAGTTTTAATATGCTTTTTAAGCAGCTTTATATTTTAATATTTATTAAAAAGCCGCCTTTACTTACTTTTAATTAAGGATTTTAATAACTTAAATAACCTTTATAAAGGCTTTTTTATACCCTTAAATTTAA